TCTACAGATGTTTGACTCACCATGACGAGGGTGAAGTCTGTGAGGGAGGGAGGAGAATCATCTGAGGAGACAAACATGGCGACGTCCAGGATAAAACTCACCGAGTTTAATAAATCAACTAAATCTACAAGTTCTTCAGACTGGATTCACTTTTATTTTCATGCCCGGTGTTGAGGTCCTTCTAAACTCCCCGTCGGCTGCTGATGATTCACAGGCTTTAGTAGCCTCTGTAGATGCCTGATGTATATTTTTAATAAAAAAAACACAAATAAATGCTTGAAATAGTAAAACCATCGTTCACAACCTGTGTTCATCTGTAAATACGTTTTTTTTGCGGTCAATATATTTGATAGTATTTAGTTTTGTTTTAAATTTTAATCAGGAATATAAACAGCTAAACTGTAGCTTCGCAGATTTCAAACTCATGTGTCCTGAAGAAAGAAGCACATGTTAATGAAGTCAAGAAAATAATAACAATAAAAGTAATAATAATAATACAATTGTAATTATAACTTGTATATATCTTTAAAATGTCTTTTAGCAAAAGTTTAAATCCTGAAAAATACATACAAATGTTTTAACATCTATAATATCACCATGACATGTTCATATGTAAATTATTTGCCAAAAAATATACAGAACTTGTGCAAAATACAGTATTTTATCAGCTGCAGTAAAATGTAAACTGATTGTGATTTGAATTTAGCAAATCGGAAATGCTTTAAGTGAGTGTTGTGCCAAAAAAATAAAACCATGGATACATTTGATATATTTGAACAAAATGATAGATGGAGTCGGTGCTGGTGATGTTTAAATGCATGTGCTGCTTAAATATTTTTAATGACAACAATGTCTTTCCATTAGGTGTTAAATTTAAATCTGCCTGAACTTACTATATTAGCTTACTATATTGGCCTGTGATACATTGTCATAAACACAGAAAAGATCATAAACAACCAAGAGACCTGTTTTCAAGTTGTGGTATAAAGAGAATATGTGATTAGGAATATTATTCACAAAAAGTAAGTAATGTCTGAGAGAAGTTCCAACACATGGCCTACACCTAATAGATGTAATAACAGTTAATAATTGTGAGGATCTGACACGACAGATTGTGTTTTTATTGTAAAGACAAAATATCAAGGAACTAAGTCTAAATGTGTTTTTGTGTTACAGTTAACATACAAACTTGACATATGATTGTAACAGTCATTTAATAAAAATAGTTTTAATCTACATTAAACATTAAAGTCTTCATGTCAGGACTCCCTGCAACCCTTAAAGATAATGGACGGATGTTAGTTTATATCAAACACTTAATCTAAGAAAAGTGATTTGAGTTGATAAATCAATTTTCTTAATTAATAAACACGAGGAAGTAATTTTACTTTTAATTATTTTTTATGTTACTTTTCTTAGTCGAGACCCTAATACCAACAATTCAGTGCTTCTACACTCAGACAAATGATGTACTCTCATTTTGGCTTGACTTCATTGGGGATAGGTTGGCCTTTCACTGCAGCCACAGCGTTTTCTACCATCCTCTGCACCATCCGTCTGGTTGTCATGTGAGTGTTGGTGCCGACGTGTGGGGTGATCAGCACGTTAGGAAGAGTGAGTAGAGGATGATCCCTGCACCAGAGGAAGAAGAGGAGTTCATTTCCAAACCATCAGTTTTGTATGTTTAATGTGAGTGAGTGGGTTCTTTCAGACAGACGAGACCTTGGTAAAGGTTCCGGATGAGTCACGTCTAACGCAGCCGCTCTGATCGTCCCACACTGCAGAGCTTTAACCAAAGCGTCCTGGTCCACAACCAGACCTGAGTGAGACACAAAATAAAACGTTAGACATAACGAAACATAGGTTTGTCTTCGGTCTCTTCACATCGTCCTCACCTCTGCTGATGTTGACCAGCGTCGCCGTGCGTTTCATGAGGGAAAGCTGTCTGTGGCTGATCAGACCGGTGGTCTCAGGGGTCAGGTTGACCGCCAGCATCACAAAGTCCGACTCTTTCAGCAGGTCGTCCATGTTCTGACAGTAACTGGCTCCCACAGCTCGCTCATCCTCAACGCTCCTGAACAAACAAAACTAGGTTGATGGTTACGTTTTTAATGTCTGGTGTCAGCAGTAATATACCTCAAGGTTGTGCATTAGTAAGTTTGGACATTTTATCATTTGAAAAATTATCATAATTTTAACACAACTTCAAGACATAATATGCAACTTTAATACATTTACAAATTAATTTAGAAATATGAAATATTCCACAATTGTATTTATTTTTGAGTGGGTTAACAAATAAGTCTCTAAATTAACTGATTCGTCTGGAAACCTTTACCTTCTGTTCCTGTTGTGATACAAGATCTTCATGTCAAATCCTTTGCTCCTCTGAGCTATTTTGTATCCGATGTCTCCCATTCCAATGATCCCCAGAGTGGCCCCTGTGACTTCAAATCCCATCATGCACAGTGGTAAATGGCTCGTCTTGGGGTCGACGGCTACTTGGTGACCTAAGAAGAGAAGGGCCGAGACACTTAAATCACCTCTGCTGAGGAGGTCGTGTTTTGATTGTCGTTTGTCCGTCTGTCAGCAGGATTACTCAAAATCTATCATTCATTTCCATGAAGCTTCGTTTTGGGACACGACCCGAAGAAGGAGACATAACATTTTGAAGCAGCACCAGATAAATGGATGGATACATGCAATATGGTGAGAAGCCTTGGTAGAGGTATGTGCTTTCCAATTTCCTTTCTAGTCTTTAACATCTCTCTGCAATCGAGTAACTAACTAAACCTGACTGATCAATGACAGATGCTGATATGCATTACACACATTAGTCCATCATTTGAAGACCAATTATATCCATTTATTACCTTATTAATTAGAGACAATTTAAAAATACATCATGTTTTAGTTTTTACTTTTAATAACTGTGGATCTTGTTTTTTAAACCAGATTGATAACTTTTTTATTCACAAGTGCCTTTAACTTAACTATTTGACCGATCATACCATCAATGTTATTTTCTATTTCTATTCAACTATTTGAAACATTTACACTACGTCTAATTTATTAGTACCATCTTTCTCCTTCATTGCATTTTTAAATCGATTTATCCTTTTTATTTCTTTGTACCTTTGTACCTTTTATTTGAGGTTTTTTTAAACCATGCTGTCTGATTTGAAATTGATTTCATTTAATTTTGTCTCTGTGTTGTTTTTAATGTCCCCTTACAACACCTACCTCTGTGTACGAAAGAATTGACCATCCAGTCGACCTTTGACCTCACCTTCAACAACCCTCCGTGCCGATGCCAGCAGCAGAGCCATGGCCATGTCAGCAGTGGCATTGCTCACGATGCCGGGCGTGTTGGTCACCTTCACCCCGAGGCTGGAGATGTACGGCACATCCAGGTGGTCGATGCCCACTCCTCCGTTGGCGACCACCTTCAGAGATGGTAATGAGGTGAGCAGTGAAGGCTCAGCTGCAGGATGAGTATTCCACACGAACACGGCCTGGATTTTATCACCGTACAGCAGAGGGTTCTGTGAAAAGTCTCTGTGGCAGACGATGTGGAAGTGCTGTTTCATTACATCTGTGACTTCTTCCAGGAAACCCTGCTCGCCCACCTCCGAGATCAGAGCCCAGGGTTTGTCCTCGTCCATAACCTGTGAAGAGAGGAACGACAAACAAGGTGGAAATGAGCGATACGTCCATTTTTAATGTGTCTGTACTTTACTTAAATAGATTTAATGATAGTTCCAGTTTATTAGAGATAATTTATCAATATGTCCTACCCGGGTAAAATCAGACAATTCATTTGAAATATAACAGTAAATGNCCGTGCTGATGACATCCGCTGACGCACGTAAACATCACACGTGAATAAAGAGAAATCAGCCACAGAAGTTATGAATGAACCGGACCACACTCACGCGCTGATGTTTTCGCTTTGATTTTGACCCAGGAAGTAGTACTCTGGGGACGGATTTCAAAATAAAAGCTTTCTATAAAGCTTTTATTTTGAAATATACTGTGATCATTTGACACATACTGTCAGTTCATAGACTGAATTCAGTATTGAGACTCTTCTACAGTGTAAATAAATTGAGATTGTGTTGACTTTAAATTCTAAACATGAGGTTAGGACAAACAAAAGCAATACAATAACAGAGCTAAATTAAAAAGGTAGAAGTACCAGTATTAATACATTTAATGGAAGCTAATGCCCAAACTGTACCTTTTTATGTTGCAGTCGGTGTACAGATGTGTGCAGGTTTGTCCATTTAAGTGTCCGGGATGCTTGAGTTGAGCCCCAAAGTTTCCTCACACACCGGATATAGAAGAGACTTCTCATTCTGATAGATAATATGTCAATGTTGTCAGTTATTATTATGTTGTCAATTTATTTTATTTTGTTACACAACGAGACAAACACTTAGAGCTTATTTGATGTGCAAGTAATCCAAAAGAGCTCGAACACAAAACAATAAATAATTATTATTTTCATCAGAGTAGCAGAAATTCTCACCTTCTCTCAGCCGTGCTGCTTTCTGACTCTGGAGTCCACTCTGTGGATTGGGAGGGAGCAGGTAGAGTAAGATGTTCAGCTGCTCTATGCTCAAATATGACCTTCCATATAAGAAGCTGATCTGGAAGCAGAACAGAGAGTCATGGACATGGAGAGGAGAGGAGGTTGGGAATTCATTAAACACAAGTGAACTGGCTTCAGCCGGAGCTGCAGGGCAATGACTGGTGAACGAAACGAAGCCCTGAGACTTGGATCAAGGGTCAGTAACCATCCCACTGTCCATAAAGAGACAGTACATGAGACTGACTATGGTTCACTAACTTTCCCCATGGCAACATGGTGGTAACTTTTATTTCTGTTTAATTTTTTAAACACACACACACACACAGTTCACAGATAAATAACTGGATATAGATTTTGTTTTCATACAACGTTCTACTTGTAGATTTGCTCACCTTTAGTTAGCTGTTCTCATCAATTGATTGATTTTTTTGGGAGAAGTTTTCTTCGAGTTATCAGTTCCTGTGGTAACACTGCATGTGTCTGGATGTGTCTTCTGCACAGTGAGGCTGGGAGCGGATTGAATGCAATGAGATATTTCAAGAAAAACAAGACCTGTGTGTGATTGTGTGACTGCATCATTTTGTATGTAGAAGGGTAGAAATACCAGTTGAATAATTTAACCACTAGATGTCACTAACGCATCGACCCATGTCTTTGCAGCATGAAATCTTCTGAAGGGTGTTGCAACAGGAAAGTTAAAAAAGCCTGAGGCCACAACACTCTTGAGAGAACCATTATATTCTACAGTGGTCAGTAGGTTGGGGGTTTCGATCCCCAGCGCTTCCGCTCTGTATTCTGTAAGTGTTATCATTTTTAAACATTGGGCTCACAATTGCCCCTGATGGTTGTACTGGCAGCGTGTGAATGGTTTGTGATAGAAGACAGTCACGCATATAGAAGCTCTGTACGAATGTGTGTGTGAGAATGCATCTTGAACTGTAAACTTGGTGGATAAGATTGGAAAAGTGCAGCATGAATACCGTCTGAACTAAAAGTAGTTTCGTAGACTTCAAAAGTATTATTTAAAGTTTTAATTTGAGTTTTTTGCAAAGAACATTTGCTGTGCATGAATGCAGCTTTTCATTCAGCTGCAATCGTTCACACTGGAAACCTGTTGTAGGGCCACTTTTCTGCCTCTTCTTGTATCTTACAACTCCCTGATATATTTAGTGCAAGTGCGTGTGTGTGTGCGTGTGTGTGTGTGTGAGTGTGTGTGTGTGTTTATGAGTTTACCTGCAACAAGTCAAGGCTTCAGGGATGGCCATGTGTGCTACCGATCAACAGCTTACCTGGTTTTTCACTGTTGCATAACCTCATCACCTTAACATTATTATCTCCTCCTCCTCCTCCTCTCCTCCCTCTGTTCTTTGACTCTTCCTCAACACCTGTGTCCACCATCCTCACCTCCTCCTTACCCCTCTCCCGCATGGACACTGCTACAGCCTCTCCTGTCCTCCCCTTCTCTCTCTGGATCTCCACCAGCTGTTCTCCACCCAGACATACCTCCTTCTGCTGTCTACAGTATATATGAAGCTGTAACCTTTCCTCTCTGTGCGGGGCCAGGAGTCATTAAGTTCTCCATTAAGCCAGCTCCGATCTCCAGCCAAGCTCCAGTTCCATCTGCCGCTGCGTCCAACAGCAGGTGGCCTTTTAGCAAAAGTGCTGACTCACGTGGTAGACCCAGCAATTATATCTCTGCTTCATTACACAGCATTTTGGATCTTGTCGTCATTGCTCTTCCCTGATCAATAAATAAAAATGATAGTCACATCAGGAGGTCAATTTTTTTTTTTCGTATTTTAAAGACATGTTTGGTCATTGTTTCCACTCAAGTAGCATTACTGATATCCCTCCTGCTGATCGACACGTTACATCAGTATGACAGATTGGATCGTGTTGCATGTCACACTGTCATGTTTGCAGACAGGTGATTGAAAAGGCCCATAAGTGAACTCTGGCTCAGACTCTAATAGATTGCTGATGTAAGTCCACAAACTCATCCTGACTCAGCTTATTGATTCAGCGAAGACGAGGTATATCCACTCCTCTGAGGGGATAAGATATAACTCCCAAAAACAATGGAGATGACTTTGCTGGTTTATAAGTGGTGTTTGTGCTGCAGTGTCACATCTACTTTCTTGTAGTTTTTGTCAGCAGCAAATTGCAGTGGGAAAACATGTAGTTAAGATAATGCAAGTGATGTTTAAAGACTCAAAAATAAGGCAGGTGGCTGTAACAGTTAAGGTTGTGTTAAAGAAACATGATTGGCACTTTACTCTTACAATATATGTGTGTGTAAAAACTACACTATTCTCCTCTTCAATGAAGTGGAGTAGAAGTATAAAGTGTCATTACATGGGAATACCCAAGTAAAGTGCAAGATTCACAAAATTGTACAGCTTGAGTAAAATCTAATATTGGTTTTAATTTGGTTTTATATTCAAACATTAAAACTTAGTTCTACATTTATGTTGAAATAATCATTTCAACACTGAAATCCTGCAAAACCAATGTTCTGACATTCAGAAAATATTGTTGTTAGTATTGTTTTGTATTTGTGTGCAACCACATTTTGGCTGAACTTGTCAGAGGACATCTGCAGGACATTGTTCTGACTGATAACACATCAGATTATGTGATAAGAACAACACGTCCTCTGTGACTCAGACTTTTGTTTTTCGTGTACTGGTCCTGGACAACTTCATGGGATTTCCCCTCCTGCAGGTGCTGTCGTGTTGCTGAAATACAGCAACATTAGAGACCATGCACAGAGTTGACACCTGTGTCTCTCTCATGGTTCTGCAGAGGCTCAACACGCAACTCCCAGCATGTTCTGCTTGAGAATAAAGTCACCTGCTGGGTAATCCAGTCAGCCTGAGCATTAGTCGGCTGCTCATGACGCACAGGCCTGTGCCGTTAAGTCACAGGTTGAGTGTGGAGCTGGACATGTTCTCTCGAGAGCTGGAAGATCCCCTGCACCTCTCTCGTGTCCCCTGACCTTTGCTTTTTCTCATTACACAGGGAAGACCCACAGCAAAAATGGAGATGTCTATGACCACTGGCCGGCAGGACCAACATGTTGCATATTGATAAATGGTTTGAGCCAAATTGAAGAAGTAAAAGTTGTTGTGCAGGCAATTAAACATCATGGAGCATTCCCTCACAACACGGGAAACATGCACCCCTCTGTGTTTGACTCTCACTGGCTTTTGTCTTGATAATATCACAATCCTCAACCGGTGAATGGCTGCCAGAGAGCTTAGCTCACCTCAAAACTTTTGGCCTCACTCCTGGGCAGGTTCCGAGCGGCACAAGGTTAGCTCTGTCTGGTTAAGTAACAGATAATCAGTAAGAAGAGGCTATTGGTTCTCCGCTGTGTGCCCCCCCCCCCCACCAGCACCAGCTACTTAGCCCCTTCTCTAAAGCTGCTGTTATCTAATGATAGAGCCCGTGTAGAGCCATGGGCCGGCTGATTTAAAAAGATGGCACCCCCAGTTCAAAGCCTCTTGGCAGTTGAGCTGTGGCAAACCAGGCCTCGCTGGTGTGTGTGTGTGGAGTCGGAGATTGCTCTTCCATGGACAGCCAGTCCGATCAATGTTATGCAAACCTATTAGTCAGAGGTTGCAGAGCTCGCTCCACTCGGTGCTCATGGACTCTCCCTCAGGGTCAAACTCACTGATGAGCTCTCTCCTCTGTTGAGAGTAACAATGTTTGTCTGTTGGTTAAAGGCCAATAACAGAGAAAAATAGCTTTACAACGCTACCATGACACTGAGATACTCATCCTGACACTGCACTGGTATAGGTGCTGTTGTGGTTTATCAGCATCACACATCAGTGTTTCCTGGTGTTATGTCCAGTTTGCACCATCAGACTCATGATCTTTGTTTAATCATTAAAAATCAATTTATTGATGTTCCATTGCATGTTTCTGATTTTGTACATTTGTAGGGTTAGGGTTAGATCATTTTAGATTATGATCACAGGTTGCATGGTTTTTATTGTGCTGTAATATATACATACAGTATACATAGCATAACATTCTCAACAAAAACGTGTCCAAACAAACCTGCATCATGCAAACATTAATTTCAATCAATGTCATTATACAGCAGAGTCCACTTTTATAATCTAATTTACCATTCAAACCACTCCCATTGAAATACAGCCTTTGTACAAGAGAAGTGCAATATACATTTTATGTCATAGAGTTCAGGATGATGTCCTTGCATGCCCGTGTCATTGATGCTTATCAAACATTTAAAAATCAATCTTTTATATTTGCTTCTTGAGTGCAATGAATCACTGACCTTTCTATCTGTCAGTGTGGCTGGGATTTTGCTGAGTCAACCGGAGGACGGCTCCTCTGTGTACTTTATAAGGCCATTAAGAAAAAGCTCCCAGGAACCCTGGCTGTATTAGCGCCTGTGGCTTTGACTTCCACTAATCATCTTAAGCAAAGCATGGCTCTCAATGTGCCGGCGTGGGAACACCTGTACTGGGCCACAGAAAATACTCAGTGGTTATCATCATCATCATCATCATCATCATAATCTTTCTCATCATCATCATGCAATACTCAGAAGCAAGCTTATTGATTTTCCTCCCTGGCAGAACATATCAAATGGACGGCAAAGCAGGTCCACTCATTCTTTTAAAATAAGATTTAATTTGATTCGCTAAAAAGGAAAAGGCTGTAAATTCACCTCATTAAAACATGCAAAACTGTGGTTGGAAAAATGTATTTGCATGACAATAGATTTGCATTATAGCATTATCAGACGTGGATGTGGGAAGGTAAACCAAGGACAGACGCATTACGAGGCTTCACAAACAGCTGAGAAATATGTTTCTTTCCTCTCCTACTAAAATATTTGAGTTGCTTATTATTTATTTTGTTTTTTCTTATCAGCAACACATGTTAAAACCTCGATAAATTCTTAAGGCCAAAAATAGGCTGGAAAAATAAACTCCATAAAAAGCTCACTACTCATTTTTTATGTCAAATAATGAAATACTATACAAATAAAACTTTGTCGCCATTCCCAGGGCACAAAATGATAACAAAGACGAGGCAATAAAGAATTTTGATGTACACCATTAAAGGTGTAGAGAGATATAAGGATACATATTGACTAGATAAATCAATATACAACAAAAAAGTTACATTTTAAGTTATATATTTTATTGCATATTTGGCTCGTGTTTAAAAACAATAACAATACTTTTTGGAAAAGGGCAGGGGGGTTATCTGTTGTTGATTTCACTCACTGTTTCTGGAATGTTTGAATTTCCCTACATTTTTTCTATTAGTTATAATGTTCTGAATGTTGAAAGGAAAGGAAAACAACAGAGAATAGTAAATTAAGAAATAAGATGTCCACAATTAAAGCTATTAAGACATACAAAAGTATACAGTGAGTAGTGGAAAACACAGACAGCAAAAAAGAAACAGAGGAGCTCTAGTTTATTGTTTTTATTTCAAATTAAAAAGTACCCTAACCCTCACATTCAATGTTTGGGTTTCATTATTACATTGAAGCTTTAAAGAGTAAATAGAGGAGAAAAATACAAGTACAAGAAATAGAAAAGCTTTATTTTGTCATTATTATGAAATATTTTTTTCAATAATTGTGAAAATCGTCTTCAAAATGACATGCTCCACACTTACTGGGTTTCTTAATCAGAATTTTTTGTCTTCTCTTTTGCTTGATGATCAATGTTTATGATGCTCTGAATATTCAGAGGAAAGTTTATCAGAGAAAAGCAAATAAGAGAGAGGTGAGGGGGTAAATTTAGCTGTTTAAAAACAATTATGTCCATTTAAATATGAAAAAATGACTGGAAATCTCCCAGTTTGGTTTTCTGAGTCATAGAATTTTAAATATTATTATATTATATTATTAAATGTAGCTCATTTAAAGCACGACAAACGTAGCACACTGCCTCATACCATCTAGTGCTGATATAAAACCAATAAAGATAAAGTATAAAATAATCATTCTTATTAAAAACACGTGTTTTTGTGGCTTCGCTCGTCAGAAAAACAAACTTGTGTGTTTTTTTTCTTTCGCACTAAATCGCCATTGAGACACCGAGTTCTTGTTGCCAGGACAACGCGGCTCCCCATTGGCCCGCCGCCGCACCACGTGGCTCTGGGCCTTGACGTCACGGCTGCGGGGCTAAGCGGAGTGAGCGCCGCCGCTGGAGGAAACATCCTCCCCGGAGTTCGAAGTGCGAACAGCCGCCGGCGAACCCCTGCTCCCCGCGTGGCTCCTGCTACCTGTCGCCTCCCCTTCCCTCCGTTCACGTGAGAAGCTTCCCTGCAGGTAACCAGGAGGTAATGGACCATTAAAGCGACTCCTCACCGGTTCCCTTCACAGCAACTTCTGCGCGAGGTAAGTTGTTGCTAACCGTTTCCCTCCCTCGCACTTTCTCCGCTTCCTACTTTAGTGTTTTCCTCGCGTGGAGCTCAGGTGAGTTGAGTTTTCACAGGTCGAATGTCTCCGAACTACTAAAACCACCAAACTGCTGGAGTTACATTCCACTTACTCCAGTTTGAAACGCGTCCTCCCCCGTAACTTCACATTACAAAGTAGCACCAGCGCGATGATGGTGATGCTGCTAGCGGCGGATAAAGCTTCACCCACATTTCTAATCGGATGAAGTCGCTTCTTCTCGCCCTGGATGAGCCGCAGAGGAGAGGAGCTGCTTCTCTTTTTCACTTTCTCCATGTTTGACCGTGGCAGGAGCGAGGAACAGGAAATGAAAGAGGAGTCCTGAGGCAGGGGATCTCATTACAGCAAACACACATCACCTCCGTCAGTCAGTCAGTCAGGGGATTTAAAGCAGGGCAGAGGGAGATAGACTTCACTGAACCGCTGCTGCTTTACCCTGACAAGTGAGTGGACATGTTTGTCCCCCTGTCAATGAATGTCTCGTCTGTGTACAGTAACACTACAGTGATATTGTACAGTGGGAGGGTACAGTATAACAGTACAGTGGAATAGGACATTGTACTGGTACAGTATAACAGTACAATGTAATGGTACAGTATAACAGTACAGTTACAGTGCAATGGTACAGTGTAATAGTACTGTTTATGTTGTTCTTATCATGGGCTTCAGTGCATTTACATGTATCTTTATATACATTTATCTAGGGCTGGATGATAGCACAAAATAATATCAGGTAAACATTGTTATCGAGATATATCACGATAAGTTATTATTACGTGTAATAAATTATTGTATTATTATGACTTTTTTTTAGTATAGACCGTATATAGACACAGATTTTTGTTCCTTTTGTGAAGGTTGTCTTTTTTCCTTAATGAGCAGAGAATGACAAACACTTGTTGAACAGCACATTGTTAGAAATCCGAAGTAGAACGGTTGTGTTGTACCTCCTCACTGTGCTTACACAACACATGAGCAATATATCAATATATATTGGACTTTTGTTATGTTGCCATTGATATGCAATAAATGTATATTGTTTTATTTCCCAGAACAAGATGGGGAGGGAAGTAACAGTGGGAATGAGGATTTTAGATCAGTGATGGGAGGCTGCAACAAATTGTTGATTCAGTAAATGGTCAGAAAATACACAATTAGGACTGAGGTATTTATAATACAAGTCATCTGTCAAGCAAGAATTTGTCAAACATTTGCCAATTTCAGCTTCTTATGTTTAGTAAGTTGAGCTTAGTTTATTGCGATTTCCAAGAACCACAGTTACAGCATATTTTTTGTGAGACATTTGACATGGGTATTAAAACAATCTTGATAAAACAATCTTGATAATCATTGCAAAATGGTTTTCATCTACAGCAATATAACCAAAGTTTAATGTGGAAGCACAGTGAGGAGGTGTAACACAATTTATTACGCTAAATTTGTAAAGTATTTGTGATTCCTTGAGTTTAAACCCACGACCTTCACTCAGGAGCAAAACGCAGCCTAATGCAAAATATATAATGTGACATTTATCATGATATTTAATGATATGGACTGATATGAAAGTTTTTATCTTGACATCATTTTTGGCTTATTGTCCACTCCTGTTATTGTATTATATAGAACAAAATAATTAAATCAATCAAAAAACAGTCAATTTTGCATTAGGTTGCTTTAAATGTGGACCCTGTTGGTTTCAGGTCTACAGCAGACGAGCAGCTAAAGTAGAACTGAGGATTATAGAGACTCAGGACAAGATTGCTGCTTCTCAAAATGGCTTTTAGAATTAAGAGACCTGACTTGTCCTTGTGCAAATTTACTCCTATTGGCCTGGTGGCTTGTGGTAATTGAATGCCGTTGGCGTGGTTTGATGTGGAACATAAACAGGTTTGATTTCCTCTCGTGCTCCCAGTGAAGTGCTGAAGAGGTGATGGGGGCGTAAAAAGATGTGAGTGGACACAGATGGAGAGAAATAAAAAATCAGATCAAGGAGATTAGAGAAAAGAGGTTTTGCTCACATAGACTGTTTCTGTTTTCCTTTGTTTGTGTCTGAAAGGAAATACACCATACAGCTCCTCCTCTCTCCACGACAAGAAACATTTAAAGACCTGTGTAGGTGCTGACACAAGGGTGGAGTCAAGATAATAGCCCCCTTGATGTCAAAACCATTTCTCCAAACAGTTCAAGATGCTGAACGCTTACAAATGTTAGCTAAATTTGAACAGATGATCTATTTTTGATAGTGTGGGTGTCTTGTGGGTCCGTTCTGGACCAGACTGGCCACACTGGCAGCATCCTCTGTAGTTAGGCTTGTCTGAGATGCAGTCGATGCAATTTTTGAATTGAATTAGACTTCTGTTGGAGGAAGTAGCTGGGGAAAGTGATTTGGAGAAAGAATGAGTGGAAGACGATGAAAGAGCAAGAGCTTCTGAGACTGAGATATAAAGAGCGAGAAGCACAGATAATGTCACAGAGAGAAAGACCCTTTTCTTGCATGCTGTGCAGCAGATATCACTGGTGGAGTGGGTGGGAGTTGTTTAGTCAGGGGACAGATTGACATTTACATCTCTGCATCATTTGTCTTTACAACAGGCTGTTTGAGAGAAAGGCACATTTAGATATTCAGTGTAAAGCAAACAGCGCTCAGCCTGTGCAATCAGTGACAATTTCCTGCAAGTGTCTGTGTGTGTGTGTGTTTGTCCAACCCTAAGTCGGTGCTGCGGCCTCGGCTTGCCTTCTTGCAGTTGATGTCGGTGACAAAAATCATGTTCTTTTTGCTGCCTCATAATGGCCTCTCTGTCATGGTTGTGGTTTTGTGCAGAGCCTTGACACCAGAGCTCCTCGGCTGACAATTGCAGCTCGTGTGTGCTGCACTATGATGCATTTGCTGCCTCAGGTCCCTCAATGACACAATGGTTGGGATTTCTAGTAATGTTTAAAGAAAGGAAGACATGGTTTATTACAGCATCAAGGATAGAACTCTTCAGAAAAATTGTGGTTAATGTTTATTACATCTGCTGGACACGAAACGGGCTGCAACCAATAGAATTTGGTTACAACTTGAATTTGATCCAGTTTCTATGTGGAATCCAGATAACCAGTAGTCATTGAGAAGTGTCCGGCGGCTGAGATTCCTGTCGCAGGGTAAAGACGGTGTTAACAAACTTGTGTTGGTAACTGTAAGCTAACGACAGAAAGGTTTGTTGGCAGTTTAAGTTACCAGCATGTGATCTGCCGTGTGCCAGTGAACAGCTCACAGTTAACTAGCAGAGTGTTGGTGAGGCTTTCGTCAGAGTGGAGAGAGGTTTGCTGATGATCCACATTTGATCCACAATTTGTGATTTAAAATGGATAATGCCAAAACAGTTTCTCAATTTTGTTTAAATATATTTTGATGGTAAGGTGTCACCGATCCTGCAGCCATGTTTACTGTAGCCTTCCATCAAATCATATGCCTTCTCTTTTGTCGAGTAAGGAGGAGAATATCTTCAGCACAGGATGAAGTTGAATCCATTATTATTTTCTAAGAATGAGCTGTTCATTAATTAAACAAGCTTTGAAAAAGTTGCATTGCTGCTGCTTAATACTGTTGGTGTGCTGATTTTCATGTTATTTATTTGTCTCATCCATGTAAATTATGGGACCTTGTTTGTTGAAGTAGAACAGCTGGGCCACATTTATTGTTTCACAATCTTATTTGAACTTTATTTTGCTTTGAGAAGCCTTTTCACCAAGATATTTTTACTTAGTTGTAGTTGTAAGTAGTTCTAACATTTTACTGACTGCCCAGTGATAGTGTTTTTTTGACAGCAACAGAACAAACCCTGTAGTGGAGTTTCCTCAGACTAAGGATCACGACTGGACCAGCTCTGACCTTACACTAAATAAAACAGGAGATAGAATTGCAGCCAAATATTCAAGGAGCCGTCAAAGCACGCCACAGTGAACAGCGCCGATCATGATACTTGTAACGTGAGCACGGCTGCTCCCAGAGCTATGCCATGCTGCTGCAGCAGCGTCTGATGGTGGGCATCACATGTTTGCATCGGACATGTGATCACAAACTGGGCAGAAGACGAACAGAAGGAGGGAGCAGCAGTATATGGTGTGACTAGATGATGACAAGCTCTGCAGGTCATCAGTTTTAGAAATATTGAAATCTGAGCCAAAATGGCACCGATGAGAAAACCAGGAGGAGTTAGTTTGCAGTCCATACAGGCCACATTGCTATAACTCAGACATATTATTAATCACTTGTGTTCTCCGTTTTTATGTGTGTGTTGCCCTTTTTAACAGATGTGTACCATATATATTGTATGACATCTAAGTTTGAGGTAAAAAGAGTTGAGTCTTCGATATCCTGTAGGATCTCACTAGTGTTTGTAGAAAGTTTGTCGACCCATCAGTATTTTTCTTTTCGCACGGTTCTTCAGTGTGCATGAATGACACTGATGCTTATCTTTTGAATTAAAGGTTAGAGGTCACACTTGTAGGCCGACGAGGCTGCGCTACTAGGGTTTGATGGTACATTTTCATGCACCAAATGTCAGTACAGTTTGTCATCTACAGTAAAACAAATTGTAGAAATTGTAGCAATGGTAAAAATGAGTTTATAGCAGCATTACATCACTTTCAGCTACTTGAATGAGGTTCTGTGTTTTCCTGTTGTCTGGGGGTAGTATGAGCTGCTTCATCTCTGACGTTCACAAAATGTGGTTGAAACTTAAAATAGATTTTTTCAAAACCATTACCCACATTGTACAACAGAAAGTCATAACTTTCTTCATGTTCTTGTAGAGTGGGAATTGAAAATATATTTCAAATACAGCAAAAACTTCAAATCCAGAGTCACAGATTTTGTTGTCTTATGTATGTATGTATCTAAAATAAATGGTAAGTGTGCAATCAACAGCAAAGTCACGGTTTAATGTTGATTATGTCTTGGAGAAGACCCAAGAACAACATAACAACAAAATAATTTTAACCAAAAATAAAGCTACAGATGTTGTAACCCTGACTTTGGTTATAAAACAGCTCTGAGGTCTTGCAAACAAAAATTAAGCAAAGCTAAACTGCTGATAAATTATACAGATAACTGAGAAGAAAAAGCGGTTGTGATGCTGCAATCCTCAGCATCATGTGTCTCTGAAATCAGAATCACATTCAACTTTGAGTCACACTTTTTCCTCATCTGGATCTGATAAGGTTAAAGTTTTTAATACGGCATCTGAAACGAAATTATTTCACTTTGCCCTACAAGTGAATATTGTGTTACAAAACTTTTTGGTCACATAACTGTTTGCCTATTAGGTCGAGTATGCACCCCCCCCAGCTCTGGACCCTGGTGATAGATGGATCATATTGCATTATGAATGTTTCATTCATGCGCTCACTGTCTGTGATCGAGGCTCTTTGCAGCCATTGTGGTCCCCCGTGAGGCCTCCAGCCAGCTCTCTTTGGCTCTCCCTGTTCTTGGATTATCTGTGGGACTTGTGTTAAGATTTACCTGCAGGATATAAATGGAGACAACTGGGTGTTATGTAAGTGGGCAGTGAGCTGATCTGGGATGAATGCTGTGTGGAGGGCTTTTGATTCAAGTAGCAAGAATGGGTCGACTGATACAGTGCAGAGTTTTGCGCAGAAATACTAGAGAATAAAATATTGTCTGTGTTCAGAATCAAAAAGCTAGAATCAAATTAGTTTTGCTTATTTTAGGTGATTCATTTTTTACTCCATAAAATGTGAGTAATTGGTGAAATATTTAATATAAGTCCAGAACTAAACATATTTAATTTACTATTAAGGTTAAAAATGAGCAAATACTCACATTTCTGAAGCTCAAACTAGTATTATTTTTTAGATATTTTTCTTATGAATAATGACTCAATGATTTATCATGTATCAAATTAATTTTAATGTAGTATTCTGCTACTTCACTGATTATTTCCAACTGTATTGTCAAGTACATTTTCCAGCTAATATGAGCTTTTTATGTTCTGACATAAAAAGAATTATCAGAAAACATAACCCAGTCCTGAATACTTTAGTTTTTTATTTATTTATTTTTTGGGATATCTTTGTATATAATGTAATATATTTATATATTCATATTTAAAGGAAATGCAAGCTGGAATTTTTAGTTTTAATTTTTTTAATAAGACATTTTTCAACCCTAAACAATTCCTTAAGTGCACTTTCTCATTTCCGGACTGTTGGCTGCGCAAAAGACTGCAGTTCATCAAGAAAATAATCAACAGCTGAACTGGTAATAAAAATAATTGTTTGTTGCAGGCTAATATATTTTCCTGAATAAAAAAAGTCTTCAAATTACTCAATCCGTGGTATTGCCCCTCTGAGCTTCTCTCTCGCGGTTTCAGGAGTTAAGTCTGTCTCAGGGCTCAGCAGCTCGAATACTCAAATTGTTATGTTTGTACTGTCGCCGTCATTAGAAACAGAGAGTGACAGCCTGTTCTCTGGATGTTAATACCTGACCACCTGGAGGTCACCGCCTTTATCTCAGGCCTGTTCTGCTCTCAGACACACTCAGGAGGTTAAACCAGCGTCCACTCACTTGTCCTGACCTTAAGACGTGGTCAAGGTAGAAACCATGTGACATGTTTGCTTGTCAAAGCCTCAGTTATGTAATGGTGCCATCACAGGTCTGCCAGCAGCAGCAGGTAATAGTCTTAGTAGACTGTGATCTCAGGAGAGCCAGAAATAGCTGAGTTCTTATAGGTGACTGGTCAAAGGGATGTTCAGTGGAGGCCTGAGCCGTCTTCCCATCATTTCTCCTCTCATGCTCGCATGCCTTCTGCCAGAAAGGAGGGGAATTAGGTGTGGCAATCTAATTAATTAAATCTTATTATGTTCTCAAACAATTTTGTCCAAAATTGATTTTATTTTTACCCTGACGTAGTGTGGAGCTGGAGATCAAACGATCAACCCTACAATGAGTAGACAACCTGCTTCTCAAGTGAGCTTAATATTTGGTTAAATAAAGTTAAAACTTTTACCAAGATATCTCTGCAAATATTAGAGCTCAAGAAACAATCTAAAGTTAATATTGATCAGAGAACCATTTCCCTTCATTTGATATCATGTAATAAGTGACGTGATGAAGAAATCCAGTCTAGTCTAGTCTGACTAGATACATCCTGCAACTCATGTTGTTGTTGAGACCAACACTAATTAACCTCATCTCCCATATTTAGAATAATGGAGAAACATTTTACTCAGTTCTGTTTGTCAAGACTAAACAGACTGACCTGAGTCTTTGTGATTAGAACTGCAGCTAAAAGCAAACAAACAATTAATCAAGCCGACATGTTTTGCAGAAAGGCTTTTTGAATTCAGTTCTGACTTAAAGGGGCTAAATAATCTGTTTTTGTCAAAAACAAAGAGTCTCTATGGTCAGTTGTCATGACAATGCAGCCTCAATAATCATGCAAATGCTCCAAAATCCATTAAGCACTTAAGAAGCAGTCTGCAGAGGATGTGACCGACCAGACAAAGAATGAATTTATGGATGAAATAATCAATCACGTCAGCCGGGTGCTGAGGGGTTGTGTTGTCTTATATACTTGGTGAAAACAAGGAACAGAAACCGCCTACACATCCCTGATGAAGAGACCAATAAAGTTATTTAAATGATCTTTAATTCTGCAGCAAATTTTGAAAGTGTTAAAGGAGCTTCACCACCTCTTTAACCTTTGTCTATCAAAGCATCAAGTCCAGACTGTTTTCATCGGTCTGATATAAAGACACACATACACTCTTATGGTCTGTTCACAGTGGACGCTCTCTGCAGCTGCTGATGTATTTAGTTCCAGTAGCGATGTGTGTAAACCTGTAAACGGGTGTTAATCTCCTTTTCACGCTGCTCGAGTATACACACCAGCATTAAAGTCAACTATTGCTGACATTAGAGGCAGCTGCCACATTGCTTGAGCCCATTGTTTACTCCGAGTTAATTAAAAGATTATAGCTGGCTGTTTATGGAACTTGTGCGTATGTGAGCAAAGTAAAGGCACAAGAGGAGGCAGTCCCTGCAGTTAGCAAGGCAAATGAAAACACAGGCAATTTGAATCAAACTGGACAGACTTCCTTACAAATCTGTCACAGTTTCACTTAAAATGCCAAATATCCTTGATCAACTGGATGATAATAGTATAATAGATAATAATTTAGGCTAAAATAAATTCATAGTTCTAATAAGACAATAACAAATGAGTTTGTTTTATGAGATTGTATGTACCATCTTTGCACTAAGTAAGAGAAACTCAGAGGTGACAGATGTCTCCATCCCTTTCTGGAACAAGCAAACACTGGTGTGATTTGCTGTGGCCTGACCTGACATTGCTGATTTTATCTGTCGTTATCCTCGGCTCAGCTTAGAACAGTTTCCTTCTTGTCTTTTGCCCGGAGAGCTGAGCAGGAATCTAGCGGTCCAAGAGGGGGAAACTGCTAAGCACATTAGCTGCAGGGTTAGATGATGAACTGCGTCCTCTGTTGAGTTTTAAGTTCAACTTTTGTTATAGAGGAATGTGATTCTTGTTAGACCCAGACACACACTGCTGGATCAGCTCAGTGGCTTTTTTTGAATCAAACAGGGCTGAGATGTGCCAGGTATACCATCTTGACTATAAATACAGAGGATGTAGCTGTGTGTGCATGAGTGTTCCTGCAGGAAATAGAAACTGCAGCTGCACAGATGCATGCACATATGATGTGGCATCACGGTTATCAACAATGTGTGTGCTGCACTGTAAGTGTAGGCGTGGTTGTGTTTCTGAACATAAAAGCATTTGGTGGTCTTATGCTGCAGGTGTTTGAGACACTGAGCTTCATTCTGCATTTGCACAAGACCCAACGCTCAGCTTATATCTACCTGCTTTTCCTTTATCTCATTGTTTTTACGATAATGTTTATTTGCATTCGTCACGAAACAGGAACAAACAAGATAAGAGACGATAAGCCCAGATAGTTGAATTGTATGTATAGCCTAGAATAAAAAACAGTACAAAGCAATTAAATACATATTTTAAATAATTAAATATGTGGCATTCGCTGTATGAAACAGGACTTTTTGTCTCCTAAAGTTCTCACAGATGTTTGTTTTTTATGAAGTTGACTTCGGTAGTCTTGCAGGAAGCGTTCCTCTATTTTTAAACAACAAAGCCATTCAACTGTAGTGGCATTTTTTATGAACAGAAACAATGTACTAAGAAAATGAAAAGTGATGTAAACAACAGATATTGGTGTCCTTTATTACTTTCTTCCACTGTGACATCACTGTCCCTCCTCCCCATCAAAAAGACTCCGACTCCTGTTTCCGATGATATTTCTAACAACCCTTGTCATTCCTTGTCATCTTCCTCCTCAGCAGTCAAAAGCACCGCTGCTGTCACACCTCAGTCACATCCTCAACACAAGCAGCAACCATGGGCAAACAGAACAGCAAGCTCCGGCCTGACGTCATGCAGGACCTGATGGACAACACGGACTTCACCGAGCACGAGATCACAGAGTGGTACAAGGGCTTCTTGAGGGACTGCCCCAGTGGTGCGCTGTCCATGGAGGAGTTCAAGAAGATCTACGCCAACTTCTTCCCTTATGGAGACGCCTCCAAGTTCGCTGAACATGTCTTCCGCACGTTTGACGCCAACGGAGATGGGACTATAGACTTCAGGGAGTTCATCATCGCCCTGAGTGTGACCTCACGTGGTCGACTGGACCAGAAGTTGAAGTGGGCATTCAGCATGTATGACCTGGATGGGAACGGATACATTAGCAAGGCAGAGATGCTGGAGATTGTAACGGTGGGTTTGCTGTGGTGATCCCTTTTTGTCTTGCTTTCTATCTTTATTCTCCTCCATCCTTTGTTCTCTCATCCGTTCAGACTTTCTGCTTCTCTGGCTTTATGTAGCCCTCGGGCTGTCAACAGCTACTGCATGCTTTCGTAGTAATACCATGTTCCCTGGTCTTTAAACTGCTCCTGCAGTGAAGCAACATTTTGCTCAGCCATCCACACCAGCTGCTCTGTCATATATCCATATGCCTATGTGTTCTACACCACTTGACTGCCCGCAGCAGGGAAACCAGATGCTGTATAATTTTAGAAACCGACAGTAAAGACCTCTCGGGTCCAGAGACGTCCCTAAATAAGACTGGGCTGTGGTGTATTTCCATGAGGGAGCGTCCCTCTTCTGATCCTCACAGTGACTCAGCACTACATCCAGATAATGTGTGGTTCTAGTAATAGGTCTCCTGCATAGTTTCCTCTGCAGCCCCAGATTAAAAGATGTTCTCACACAAGCATCGAAATAACAATAACATCACTATAAGACATATTTATACATGCCCCCTTACAAATATGTGGCTTATGCTATAGTAATGACATCTACCTGATAAATTGATTAATTAATTGACAGACATTTTAATAATATAAATCATTAGTCGTCAAGTTAAGAGGTGTTGGCTTTTCGTCATCATTTATCATCATATGTAATTAAATGATTCCGATTCTGTGGCTCCAGATCAGACTTATTTTATAGATTAAGTGATTGATCAACTACTTAAAAAATCCATACAGTAGCTAATTAAATAATAATGAATTCATTAACGTCTGCAGCTCTCAGTGACTGTTGGTGTTTGTGTGGTGGATAAACATTAAAATGTTTCTGGTGTTGAAATAGAAAAGCTTTTCATTGTGAAAACTTTCATCAGGGGGAATTCTGTTCTGAGGTTGGAAACTTTATCAAAAGTGAAAGCAGTGAGGAGTGATAATACAGGAGTGACAGGGCTGTATCTGAAAAACAAGTTTTCAGTTAGTGCGCCTCGTTCACAGTTTTTTTTTTCCACAGCCAGACATGGGGTTGAAATATTGTTGAGATGTTAAGCTTTATTTATTGAATTAGGTTTATTTGTTCAGCTACATTTCAGCTCCACTAACACAGACCAGGGATATTATTAAGTTTTAACTACTTCTGTTTTAAATGTGTTTCACATCCATTTAATAATCTAACATGCTTTCAGACATTCAGACTTCCTGTTTGTTTCTGTGCAGTGACATCAGACAGCAGAGGCAGATATGAAAGTAATGCTTCAGTTCCCATTCTCTCAGAAGCAGTCAGTAGATTAGATTCATGGATATACAGTTTATATGTATATGTTGGACGCTTTTTTTCACTTGCACTTTGCCAACTAATGGAACCTTTTTGTCAGAATAACTGAGTTAAAATATGGTCAGAGGAAAGAAAGCAACTGTCAAAAATGGATAATAATAATCATAATAATAATGTTGCAGTTACAGTAAGAGTCTTTTGTGTCTCTGATTCCTCTGTCTTCTGTTCCCTCTGTCTTCAGGCCATTTACAAGATGGTCTCTGCTGTGATGAAGATGCCTGAGGACGAGTCCACACCTGAGAAACGCACAGATAAGATCTTCAGGCAGATGGACACAAATCGAGATGGTAGGACTTCTTCACTGCCTTTAGTCAAAGTATTCGTTACAAAGCCGAGATCTTTTGGATCCATCAGATATGTTTTGCTGCAAAATCTGGGCTCTGCAGTATTTAGTCACTATTGCTAAAGTGGCTGGAAGACGGTGCCACCACAAGCAGCCTGAACACAGATAAAACCAGACTTTAAATGAATCGGATAAAATCATCGCTATGAAAAGAATTTAAAAGAACTTTGTTGGTAAAGTGGCACATCGCTTCTAGGAAAATATCTGCTCTTTGTTTTGATTCAAACACTTTTAAAGAAAACCTTCTCTCTCTCCTCTCAGGTAAACTGTCTCTTGAGGAGTTTGTGGAGGGAGCGAAGAACGACCCCTCCATTGTGCGACTGCTTCAGTGTGATCCCAGCAGTGCTGGGCAGTAGACAACTGGACATTTACCATCCCATTTTTTATTATTTTAACAAATCTTCAAAATCTCTCCCAGTTGACCAACCTGAGATTATTGACATAGGAGCTTTAGAGGCACATGCACACACAGAAATGCACACAGACTCACATAACATGCAGGAGTACATACTAAAAATACCACTTGCCCACATGCACATGTTGTACATGCACCTCTATGCCTGGTCAAAAGCTGCAGACATCATGGTTCTCATACATACGGTACAAATATAACTCAAGGGACTGATATCCCATCAAGGACTTGTTAAACACTGAATCAGAGCTGTGCTATTTCTGTCTGAGGGGACGGCCAGTGAGGATGATCCACCAGATTGATGAGGCACATTGAGCCGAATCCAAGTTTGCTGTTTCTTTTTATTTCTTTTATTTGATGGTTTTTTAAAAGCATTTTTTCCTGATTTTAAAAGGGATTTAAAATGTTAATTTTGCTCTCTGTATCTGACTCGGTTGTTGCGTGACAACTTTAAGTAGTATTTCGATCTAACTCCATGTTGACACTGGACAAAATGAAGAACGTGGGTCTGGGTCTACGAGTATCCACAGCTTACATTATGGCTACGTATGGCTAGGAGACCTGGGAAATGTAGTTTTTAATCAGAGGAATTTCAGAAGGGATGAACGATTTCTTGTATATTCAGGAGGAACGTTACATGAAACCAAAACTCAGATTTCAAAATGAAGGGGAATATTCTGGACACAGATTCACGCCATCTGTTCTTTGAAAGTGACTTTTTATGCCAAGTTATGTGTCCACATAAAATACACAAACACACTTTACACATAAACATTCACACATTCACTTCACTGATGAATACATGAACTTGACATATGTACCGAGCTGTGATTCTCTTTCTTCAGTTATGGTTCAACAAGTGTATAAGCAAAAACAAAAAAAAGAAGTTAGATGTTATATGAATATATAGTATGTGATTATATATTCTTTTACTCTGTGATAACATTGTGGCGTTTTGCTGCAGTGGAAGAGATTCACTTTAAAAACTCGTATAAATTATTGGAATGTCATGATTAACATTTTCTTTTCTTTTACTTGACGATATGATATGAAAGAATTGTACTGTATATTCACTCATATTTATGCTAGAGATGTTTTAAAAAAAATGAGAGGACCACACATATTGCTATGCATTCAACTTCGAACATCATCAGCTACATTTAGTTTAAGTAGCGTCTTTTTACTGTCAACAGAGAAAATAGCATCTGATTTCAAAATGTTCCTTCCTGAACCCCTCCCCCCTCCCTCCCACTGCTGACTTCATGTTTCCCTGGAAGCCAGTAAAGGTTTGCAGTCATTAGGTTCTCGAAGATCCTGTGATAAGTGGGAAAACAAACAAAAAACAAGTGCAAATGTCACGTTCGAGTGCAAATGTGACATCTCATCTTTTTCTGTCATCTGCACAACAGTGGAACAAATTGTGTAATTTTGAGCTGCAGCGATGATAAAGATACCAGAACCTTTTACATCGACCACACACAGTGACCGAAACTTAACTGACAGAACACGCTGACACTGCGGATTTACCGATAACTCTTTTACTGTTTCCATCCTGTTGATTTTACACCTGCTGCTCTGAAAACAACATCAGATCATTTTCACAGGTAATGGAATAACGACTTTCGGGGAAAAAGAAGTTGTGGGTTTCTGCACATTTCAAGTAGGTGATCAGGGGCTTCAGTCCCAGCTTTCACTTCAATAGCATCTTGTGGTCAAGTGCCAAATATAGATGAGTAAATAAGAGAAAAAACACAGTATTGTATCCATTTACACTGTACAGTTGTTACCTGTCGAACAAAAGAAAACTTTGTCACTGTATCATTTTGTAGATTTTGTATTGTTAACTTGCTGTGTAGGATGTCCATTTTGCTATTTAAAATAAAGGCAAAATGGGAAAGTGGCTGATAGTGTTTTAATTTTATCATTTAAGCATAGCGTAAATATAATTAACCACATTAGCGGCGTAACTGGAGTTACGACACTGCTGGTTTGTCGGTTGGTTGGTGCATCACTGGACTGATCCGTCATCGAGAGGACTGCCATGAAATTTACGACGGTCATGATCCCATGAGGATGAAATGTTTTCAGTGATCCCCTCAATTTTTCATCTGTGCCACCGTGACGTTCACATGTTTGATATATTACCATCGAATTTGATTCATTTTTAATGTTTTCCGTAGCTCGACTCGTGATAATGTAACTGATGCCATAACTTTCAAAACCCTTAGCCCTGACATTTATGAGGCCAGCATTTCATTTTGTCTAAGACTTTGCGATGGAGGGACACTGAATGAATCTCTGTTTTTTAATTCCGATTTTTTTTTACATTGGTTTTTAAATATTGAAAATATAAAAATATAAAAATGTGGGATTTTAATGAAAGCGGCACATAAAAACAGCTCCAAGGTAATTGGAAATATACTTGTTTGATGATTTGACACCTTGGTAATTCAGTTTGATAACTAATGGATAAGTATAATTTCAAAAACAAATTTTCTATCTGTTTCACAGTTGCTCACCTTTATGACAGAACACAACTGTTCATCATGAATTTATTCACTGCAGCCAACTCATCCGCCTGCACGGCCATAGACTCACAATCTTTTTTTAATGCAAAAAATTACACCTATTATATCTTTATTCATTTTTCATCACAGCCGAGCACATGAGACATACGCAAGTGCCATTTGTCACCCCTCAGAATTTGTTTTTGACTCATTACAACGTAATTTAAAGCTCTACAAAATAAAAACCTTGGCTATTTGCTAACATGTAAATATTAAAACGTGGCTGAGAAATACAGAAAAACATTTAAAAACCATTGAGGACTCTTTTTTTTTTAAAGAGGGTGACTATGAGAAAAGTCACTGAAATGAAAAGTACTTGAAATTCTTGGAATAAAATTGTTAAGGAAATGCAAACATGTCCATTAAAAGCATTAATAAATAATAAAACATTGAGCAAAGGCTGGCATGCACAAGAAGCTGCTAAATTACTGAGGACCAACTATTTCAAGCTGTGGCTACATATAGTCCATCAGGCATTTTATGAGGCTACTCCTGATGGGGGTATTTGGCAAAAACACAATGTCAACACACTGTACAGAATGAGAATAAACATACAAATTCTTTTATACAATAAAAATATTTCAGAAAAGGTCGAGGACAGTGATCTGTACTCGATGAGTTCACCTTAAAGCACAGAGGAGGACAACGATGAGGAAGGAAATATAACCAGTTCATGTGAAATGTCCCCTTATTTTATTCATGTATTGTCCGTAGAAAATGCGACTTGCTTCATTGTGTAACGTGTCGGAGGGTGGGGGGGGGCAGGTGGGTCTCGGAGCACCACAAACAGGCTCCACGTGTCAGTCAGCTTATCAGCCGGTCCATAGCAGCCTCGAGGATTTCAGCCAACCAGCAGTCACTTCTCGTCCTTCGGGTCCGCCGGCGAGCTGTCAGATCTCCGTGAGCGTGATCTTGTAGGCGTCCGTGTGGCTCTCGATGTTGAGGATGAAGGTGTCCTCGTTGGAGTAATGCTCGATGATGTTGTCGTCCATGTTCACCAGGATCCTAACACAAAAGACACATATGCATAAAATTCCAAGCTAAATAAACTCTTATCTGACTGGATGAAATAGAGAAATGTATTTACGTCCTTCTTTCACTCACCCTTTTTTACTCTTCTTGTACACTTTGGTTCCTCTGTCCGTGGGAACGCCGTACTTCTCTGATATCTGCGAAAGACAAATTCAAACGGTCTTTAAACGGCTGCTCTCCTTCCGCGCTCCTGACATCGCTCTCACGTGCAAATGGAAAGACGTTCACTCACAGCGTCCGTCAGGCCTCTGAGCGTGGGAGACTTCAGCATCAGAGCGTCAAACACCTCGTCAGTCTCCTTTCTCACGTATAACAGCACTGTGGAGAAAAGAGACTCAAGTTGTTTCCAGCATCTCAAATGTCGTTGCGTTTTTTAGACTATTGATCTGAACTATTACACTTTTGGTGGTGGACAGTTACAATTGATCCTTTTACTGATGAATCTTGGGTAAAATGGGTAAACTCTACCTACTACCACATATAATGATTTTTCTCCCATAGGAATATTGTTTTGTTGAATAAAAGAAAGTAACAGTATGAGGCAAGCAGCTGATCCTCCCATGTGAGAAGCGGTGTGTTGTTGTGTTCCCTTATTTCACGACAGATTGAGGCAGGTGTTTCTCAGCTAATGGCCCAGCTCCTCTTGTACCTTTTTGATTTCTTAGAAGATAAAAGAGAGAGAAAAGGCACAGAGAGAAGAAGAGGAAGCTGCCATCTTGTACCTCTCTTGTGCGTCTCCTCTTTGATCTGTTTGTGAGGCGACGAACACAGATCTTCATCTGACGGCCTGAACATCCTCTTCACCAGCACGCCCCTGAAAACACACAAAAACAAACACGTTGTGTGCTTTCTCTTTGCATAGGCGGTAAGGCGTGCTTCCTCCGCACGAGCTTGGCATCTGTACCTGCATTTATTTGCATGCTATATACATGAGTGACCCGATGTAAATGAAATCGTTTTTCCTCCTGAGGCCCAAACTCACCCGTCTCTCTCAATTTCCTCCGTGTTGAAGGTGAACACCTGGAAATGAATCGATACGAAAGCGTAAGTGTGACATTCATGCACAAATGACAAGTCTTTCTATGACTCATGTTTCTGGACACGTCAGGAAGGAAGTTTTTTTAAACCAGAAAAACTTGTTGAATTGCAGCTAACAGGTCATTCTGATACTGACTCCAGTTTCACCTCAGAGTGCCTGAACTCAGCTGACAGAAAACTGGTTCTTTCACTTTTATTTGCAGACAAGATGATGTGGTGTGTGTGTGTGTGTGCGTGTGTGTGTGTGTGTGTGTGTGTGTGTGTGTGTGTGTGTGTGTGTGTGTGTGAGTTGACGCACCTGACCGGCCCTCTGCAGGTTGCCGAAGTGAACGTCAGG